TGAGCCAGATTGCATTCATGTACTCAAATTTGTCTCTTCTCAGAAATTAATATTTTCAAGCATTGTGTTAGGTATTTTGTTGTCATGTTAATCGACCTGCGAGATCCCGCATTATGCATGAAATCGAGCGTGAAAACAGGACAAACAAAGGTCGCACCATCATAGTGGCAACAAACATCGCGTGGGATTCGACAAACGTGTATTTGGGGGGATATTTTCATGCTTAGTAATGTGCTGTACACATTTGATGATGGTCAATTTTGATGAAGTAAGGGTATTTAAATGCAATATTTTCCTGTCAAAGATCGACCTTTTGATGTGAGCTACGAAATAAGTTCAAAATCAAATCGTTTGATCATTCAACGTCTTTCACGCAACTCACGAGATCTCGCCTATTCTGAATGAAACTTAGATCTAACTACTTTTCATAACCAATGAACTACATGTATGTTCTTATCAGGACCAAAAGAAGAAACTGTGAATGACTTCTGGAGAATGATCTGGGAACAGAAATCATTAACTATTGTCATGGTAACCAAGTGTGCTGAATCAAACAGGGTGAGTGATTCTAGTCATATTATAATTATACATTTTGTTTCTGGGCATGGTACAGCACTTCACCTTACGTGAGTGAGATTGTGGATTTGATCTGCTACTCAATATGCAGAATATCTATTCTACCCAGACCCCCAATGATGGATGGATGATGGATTTGGTAGAATTTTATCCTATAGATTAGAAGTGCTAAAACTGTCACATATTTGGTGTTCCTGTTCTAAGTACCAATAACACAGTCTGTATCACAAACTATAACAGATTTCCACAGAATAATTAAATTCATGTCATCTTTCATAAGAAGAGCATATAAAGTTGATCTGAGTAGTAAATAAACAATCACACATATTGTGACAGTGACATGATTTTTGCTGCTAGGAACTGTAAGTTGTGATTTGATGATTTTATGGCATTTGTAAAGACACAATGTCAAGAAAGTCTCTGCTCTGTTATAGAACCCCAGATAAATTTTATGAACTAAAAAATTTTAATGGTTTTTACTTTCTTGTGAAATTAAAGCTGGTAACAGTATTTCATAGATTATAACCAGTGTTCCCTCTAAGACAATATGACACTACACTGATGCACTCAGATTTTTTGTGACACAACTAGTTATGCTCATTTCCTGTTGCACGATGCAACTGCCAAATCATAGTCCAACTATTGATATTCAGAGACATCTTGCTATATATAGTTAAAGAATTGTTAATATATATAAAAATCACAAGCTCCCAACAATCACATACATCTTAGTAGCCACCAAGGTGACCCAACATGATTTCTGACAATCGATTGTGATTCAAGATCCCCAAACAAACAGGCCTGTTAGAGAACACATTGATTATAACCTACTGTAAAATGACTGGGTTTAAATTTCGCTGATTTACCATTTCAGGCATATTCAGTGGGTTTTAAATTCACGGTTTTATCATTTATATAATGTGTTCTTCGCTACATTTTACATATTCACTGTTTTTTAATTTAGCACTTTTTCCAGTCAGCGAAATAAGCAAAATTAAAAACCAAGTGAATAATTAACCCCTTTACAGTATATGTTATACATTCATTGGTGACACACTTTTCTTGTAGGAAAAATGCTCCCAGTACTGGCCTGATGACTGCACTACTGAGTATGGGGACATTAAAGTTACACCATTATTGAAGGAGACTATAAAACTTGCTGATTATGATATCCGATCGTTTAGTGTCTGTCATGTAAGTACCAGTATAGGAAGAATTTGTTTTTAAACTGTAGATTAATGTAGAAGCCTACTTATATAAAACGGAAATACCAAGAATATATATTGTGATACTGACTTAAAAAAGTTGGGGGTCACCAGCCTAATTTTTGAGAAAATGATGGTTGTATTTCAATGGATAATGATCATCTTGTCAGTATTATATCGCTTTTATCATAGGTTTCTATGGCAGAGATATTATGCCATATCTTAAATTTTAGCCTGGTAACATAGGCTGAACAAATCATATATTGTGAATGATGGGCTACTTTTTCTTGTTCAGAATTATTTCAAATATCGGATTTTTAAAAAGTATTGAACAATGCAGTATTTCTTTAGCAATGTGGTCTATGGAAATGTTTTTGAAAAATATTGGGACATGGGACAATAGCTCCATGATTTTACATAATAAACCAATGAACATTGTTATGTGATTTATGACTATTTTCTCAAAAATTATTTTCACTCTTGATATTTGACCAGTGAGGCAATGTGTTGTAATTTCACATATTCTAATGAATTTAAATATTTAAAATATTATTGTTTATAAAATATTTGGCAAATTAATCTGGCTGATAATATGCAGCATTCTCGAGCATGAAGATATCATGGATTTTGTGTTATACAGTCAAACCTATGTTAGTGAACCACCTCTAAAGGCCACCTGCCTATAGTGATCAAATTTAGACAGTCCTAAGGTATAAAACATGAGTATTAAACTTGTGTATAAAAAGGGGAGGTGCGCATGCGCGAGTGAATGAGTTATCGAAGCCGATCGGCTCCACAAGAATTGAATAATTATACAGGAATATCTCTCCAACATCAAAGTTTGAATGCAGTATGGCGAGTAACAGGTCTAGCAGCAAAGGGAAAGAGAGAAACCTCGATCAGATGATACAAGCAACGGGGAGAACAACGAGAAGGAACACACCTGACCGAGAAAAAGATAAAGATGGCGGACAGACAGGCGACATTGATGTGATGTTGGACCTACCCACTGATCAAAAAGTAACGATTATTTTGAAAAAGATATTCGAAATTAAATCAGAGATAGAAAAAA